TGGTGCTAGTAGAGAGAGAGAGAGAGAGAGGTGGGGGCATCCATGCTATTATGTGGAACCCCGTGGACACGGTGTCAAAGATCAAATATAAATGAATTTTTAAACTACAGTGTTCATCAAGGTGTCGGTCACCAAGGCAAGACTGTAATAATAGAAAAAGGAAAAAGAGAAGGGAATGGGAATGTATGGTTTTCTGCGACAGATTCCGAGTGTTGGGATCTGACACCGAGAGAGCACGGCAACAGTGCAAACCTGCAAATTTTCATTGGAAGACTGTAATTTCTTAAAAGGAGAGCACCCAAATCGTTTTTGTTTTTTGTTTTTACTCCCTTTTTTAATGGGCTCTCTTTTTCTCTCTAAAAAACTTACTTGTGAGATGGTTAAATCTCTTAAAAGGAGAGCACCCGAATCTTCTTTGTTTTTTGTTTTATCTTCTTCGTTGATCCGTGTGTTCTCTCTCTAAAGAAATTGAAACTTGGATCTCTGCAACACGGAATTAATCGGTATCATTGTACTAATCGCCGATCTAATGATTGTCACAAGTTTGGCACACTTTTTTTCCGTTAGGAAAGAAATTCTAGAATTTTTCCTTTTTCTCTTTTCAAAAAGGTTAAAAATGGTAAAAGGGAGTCAAATATTTGGAGAGAGAACAAAATTTGAAGTTAGAGTGATTTATGTGCGGATTTTATTTTAAAAAAAAAAAAAATTTATCTACGGGCACAAAATTGTCCATCGATATAAGGAATCCACGGTCAAAATTTTATTTATTTTTTAGAGTATTTTTAGTAGGACAATACCCCATGCTTTAACGCGATGCCCTGTTATAAAAAAAAATCGGTTTAAGAATGCCCTCGTATCGAGAGGTAATTTTGAGAAAAAATAGATTAATCAACCTTTTTTTATAATTTTCACATATAAATAGAGCATTTTGTATTTTTTTAAAAAAATTTAATGTCCGTACATAAACCCTTTGCAGTTATCACCGTGCCTAAGCCTCCTCCAATTTAGAGAGTCAGAGAGTGAGAGCATAGTGAAAAGAGAGAACAGAAAGGAAAAATCCTGAGTGAAAGAGAGAGATGGAAACTGATAAACATGAGAGATAGAGAGACTAATGCAATGCAATTATGGGAAAAAAAAAAACCAAAAAATGAAAAGACAAAAATAATACAGGAGAAAATAAAAAAACAAACTGCAAATGATTTCCAATACCTGGTGCAATGTACCCATAAGATCCAGCAATGACCGACATGCACTCTGATCCTCCAGTATCCTGCAAGAACTTGGCCAGCCCAAAATCTGCAACATGGGCCTCATACTCCCCATCCAACAAAATATTATTTGACTTCACATCTCTGTGCACTATCAATGGAGAACAGTCATGGTGAAGATAACACAGTCCCTTTGCTGCTTCCCCTGCTATTTTATACCTCAATTCCCATTTCAAAAAGCTCCCCCTCTTTCCATGGAGGAACTCACCCAAGCTCCCATTCTTCATATACTCATAAACCAGCAAATTGCTCTCTGAATTTGAGCAGAAGGCCAATAGCCTCACTATATTCCTGTGTTTGATCTGGCCCAATGTCTGTATTTCAGCTGTGAATCCATGGTCATGGTGATTTCCGAAACCCAACAATCTTTTCACCGCAATTTCTTCGCCACTAGGCATAACTCCATGATAGACTATACCAGCTCCTCCCCTTCCAATAACATTGCAGTCTTTTAAGCACTCCAATATATTCTCTGTGCTATAATCAATCTTTTGAAATGCAGTGAGTTTCCATGAGAGAGAATTAGACCTTCGAAGAGATCGAGCTTTCAAAATCCCTGCAATTCCAAAGACCAGGGAGCAAACCAAGAGACCCAATATGAAAACCATCTTGAAATCCTTGCTCGAATCCTGAGAAATCGAGGGAAATTCACATGGGTTCAGTAAAGAACCACATAAAAGTGGGTTTCCAGCGAAAGAAGTGGCATTGAAGTAAGCGAATTGCCCGGATTCAGGCAACCTTCCTGAGAAATTATTGAAGGAGAAATCAGCCACTGTTAAGCTTTTCATGGAGCCAATTGACCTTGGTATGTTCAGGCTAAGATGGTTTCTCGATAAATTTAGGTAATTCAGTATTCGAATTCCTGAAATTTCGGCTGGAATCTGGCCACTAAGCTGGTTTTGGCTCAAATCAAGGTAAGTTAATGAAAAGCAATTTCCTATTTCTATTGGAATTTCACCTGAAATCTGATTTTTGCTGAGATCAAGCTTCAAAATGTGTTTTAGCTCTCCGATCTCTGATGGAATGTCACAGGAGAATCGATTATCGCCCAACAAAAGGATTTGGAGAGCTGAGAAGTTGGAGAGAGAAACAGGAGGGCACCCGGAAATGCAATTGTTAGAGAGATTCAACTGACCCAACTTTTCCGGCTTCCTATTTGAGTCACCGTTCTCCGAGAAATTTCCAGTGAGATAATTGTTCTGCAACTCCATTAGAGTGAGCTCGGGCAAGTATAAGAAGCCATCAGGAATGCTACCATTTAAGTAGTTTTGACCCATTCTCACTCTAGAAAGGCTCAAGCAAGAGCCCAAGCTCTCAGGAATTGGACCAAAAAGAAAATTATTCAACAGTATCAGTATTCTAAGCTTCATACCAGTGCAAAGACCGGAAGGTATCAGACCAGTAAGCCTATTTGTCGATAAATCAAGGGACTCGAGCTTCCCGTTTTGGCCAAGTTTTTTGGGGATGGTTCCTGTGAAATTGTTCATCCATAACCCTAGGGTTTCCAAATTAGGTAATTCTGCGATGAAATCAGGGATCGATCCATGTAATTTATTCATGAAAAGGTTCAGAAGAGCGAGGCCTTTGAGGTTTGAGAACTCTTGTGGGATCTCTCCTGTTAATGCATTGTTAGAGAGGTCTAGATTTATCAAGGCAGTTAAGTTTCCTAACTGTCTCGGGATTGCACTCGAGAGAGAATTAGTCTGCAAAAACAGAGTGTCTAAAAGCTTGAGAGAGCCCAAACTTTCAGGGATTGGGCCTTCTAGACCACAACTAGAGAGATCTAAGTGATTGAGATTGAGCAAATTGCCAAACTCATATGGAATTCCACCTTGAAAATCATTGTAATAACCCATGCAAAGCTCTCTCAAATTGCTGAGATTGCCTAACTCACCTGGTATTTTACCAGTTAGATCATTCCCAGCAAGAGAGAGAAACTCAAGCTCTGAGAAATTACCATAGCTTGGAGGTATGGTCCCATAGAAATAGTTGCCACCAAGGTCTAGATACTTCAAATTCTTCAGCCATGAAAGACCCAAAGGGAGCTTACCTTTGAAGTTGTTATTATAGACATCGATGACTTCGAGTTTCTTTAGGCCTGAGAAGTCCCAATCCAAGCTTCCATTGAACAAATTGTTGGAGATGTTTAGATATCGAAGGCTCGAAAGCGAGGATATTTTGGCCGGAAATTCACCAGAAAACAAGTTTCCGGAGACTGAGAGGTTAACCAGGTGGTCTAATTGTGAGACTTCAGGTGAAACAGAACCTGAGAGGTTCAAATTTGAGATGTCTAGGGAGACCATTCTGCCTCTTTCGCAGCCTACTCCAGCCCACGAACAGATTGAATCTCCATTCGACAAATCCCAACTGTTCAATGCCTGGTCAGTATACAAGAAGTTTTTCTTGAGAGAAGTTAAGATCATAGCATCAGTAGAGAGAGAAGAGGAAGGCGAAGAAAAGAGAGAAGAACCCAAGAGAGAGAGTAGTGAAAAGAGTAGAATTGATGCCATTTTTCTATCTCAAAACAGAGTATACAACTTAGGTTCTGAGATTTTTGCCTAAGACGGAAGCCTAGGAACTTGAAAAGGCAACAATTTATAGAAAAGGCCTCAGTAAGAAGACACAAAGAAGAAGAGAGAGAAGAACCCAAGAGAGAGAACAGTGAGAAGTGCAGAAATGGGCATCATTATTTCTCTATCAAGACAAACTTTGAAGGGTGAAGCCTGAACACTTGAAAAGGTATGAATTTATGGAGAACACAAAGGTGGAGAATGTCAATTTCTGGAACTTGTTGTGGCTTTGGTCTTGAAAGAAGACAAGGAGGATGAGGTCTAAACACTTGAATGAGAGCTAATTTATTGGAAACACAGTGGAAAAGAAGAGGAATCTTTGTTACTTCTGTGAAGTTGAATGGCTTATCACTGAAATGCATCTTAAGGAAGCTTCACATTTAAGCTAAGAATTTGCACTTTCTATTAGATTAAGATGCCTGGTTTTCTTCTCTCAACTATCAGAAGAGAGAGAATTACTTGTAAAATAGAGTGTGGGGGACTATGTATCTGGTTTTCTTTGTTGAGAGAGAGAGAGAGCTGTCAGTGTAGATAGAGAGAGAAGAGAGAGAGAGAGAGCTGTCAGTGTAGATAGAGAGAGAAGAGAGAGAGAGAGAGAGAGAGCTGTCAAGTGGAGAGAGAGAGAGATAGATGTGAAGTTGCATATGTAATTGGTTGCTTTTTTAAGCTAAGAAAATAAGAGAAAGAAAAGAGAGGCGTGCTGGAAAAAGCCGTTGGCTAACAGAAATTTAAAGTGGAAATTAGGAAAGTAAAGCATCTCCTTATCCCCCCGGCTTCCTCGCCCTCTTTTTTGAGAATCAAAAGCACCCCCAACTATTCAAAAAATGGCAAAGGGACATTCTTTGACAAGGCCAAAAACAATTTATTTTTTTGGAAATTAATAGGAAAATATTTTTTGTTTTTGAAATGTATGGAGTCCCATGTATTTTATAGGGGTTGTATATAACGAGATATTTATTTTTTTGTATAAAGATGTCACAATTATCTTTAGCTATTGGAAGTGAAATTTTATAGCTCAAAGTGTATTACATAGTCCTAGAACTTTTATTTTGGACCTTGTGTCTAGTCACCGTCACATCCCTAGCCACCTTTATATTGGACCTTGTGTCTAGTCAATGACACATCTCTAGCCACCTGATTTCGCATCAAGCCGATAATGGTTATAGCCTCCTTGTATCAAAATAATTGTCTTATTGCATGCATCTCCTATTTTATATTTGAGAAAGTATATAGTGAGACCATTTACCTCTGGTACAAGGTGGTCACAATTAATCTTGACTATTGGATGTGAAATTAGTGATTGCATTTATTTCATTAACCAAGCTTAAAGTTCAAAAGAAATTTTTTCGAACTTTGTGACACAACCAAGCTGTTAGATTTTATATCGGATATTTGTAAGCAATTGTGACCTCTTTGTACTAAAAATAAATGGTCTCATTTTATACAAGCATAAATTTCATTTTATATAGTAAATGTTGTATTTAATTTTAAATTTTTTTTATGTATTTGATGAAGCTCAAATTTTATATAAAATATTTAAAATATCGTAAAGTTAAACTAAAACAATAAAACTACAATCTTATATTCTTTAAAATAACTTTCAGCATTTTTTTGCAAATGTGGGATGGTGAACATTTCAACTCCCTAAATTTACGCTCAATCCAATATATAGGAAAAAAAAAAACGAGAATTGAAATACAATATGCCCCCTAAAAAATTGGGACTCCTAGTGTAAAATATAAAATATACAAGACTATTTTTAATTTTGAGAATGAAATAGGAATTTTAGTAAATTTTATTTCTTTAAAAATTGAACAATATTGGGTTTCAAATTAGAATGTAAAATAAAAGCATCATCATCGTCATAACTTTTTTCCAATTAATTGGGATCGTCTACACGAATCCTGATCCGCCATTCTGCTCTATCAAAGTTTATGCGCTTAATGAGGTCATAAGTTTCCATATATTTTCTATCTCGTGACCTCATTTGCTGTAAAAATAAAATAACTTAATTTTAAAAGATTTTGTGATATTTTCATGTTTTTTTACTTGGGTTTCGATTTTGGTATTTTTCCACTTTCCAAATGTTTGCTCTATGAATGCATCACCATGACAAAAGATATGCCTTCTTTTTAAGTGAATGCATAGCTATGAGTGCATGCTGGGATGCATAGCATGAAATCATGCATGCGTAAGTGTTTTCGTGCTATGTAGGGAAAGGCACAATAAGAAACCCTAATTTGGCACCCACAAAACCGACCAATGATCTCATGAAAGACTTTTTCTAAAATCTGAAATACAATGAGATATGTGTGAACACTGTGCAGAGAGAAGTTCACATTTTGTTCAACAACTCGGTCATTTATTACTTACCCAAAAAAAAAACTAGGCCATTTAGAGAGCGAGCATACTGTAGTCCTGCAGGTGCAGGGACAAACTGTACACATGTTCTCGCAAGCAAATGCCTACTAAGGCGGCTTCTCTCGATCTAAAATTTTGGATTTAGAGATGATTATTTACGAAATAAAAAGTCTAGGTTTAATTTCTTAAACACTTAAATATGATTGTTCAAGAATTGGATGCACTGTTCAATCTTAAGTTTACTTTTTCATAGGGCATAATTTTTTTTTTTTTTTTCTTTTTTCTTTTTACTTTTTTGAGGTTGGCCGTTTGGTTGATAAGGCTACATCCCAAAATTTAGGGTCCTAAAGATAATCCTGAATAGGGTTTTACCCAAAGTAGCAAATAGGTAGTATACTCCCGATAGAGCATATAATCATTTAGCTTTTACATGTAACCAGGATGAAGTTTATAAGGCCTAGGCTTTGTGAAAACAAAATAGAGCCTCACCACAAATTCTCGAAAGCATTTTTGGCAATGAAAATCTCCAAGATGGATCTAAAATCAATTTCCAACACCAAGAATAAATTTTGAAACTCAAAAAATAGTACAGATCTTGTAGATCTATAAATACCTATTTTTAGGGGGAAATAGATGGTCTAGATAATTTGCTACCGTGTACACTGTTTTTAGGGTTTAAAATCCTAAATTTGTTCACAACCATAATGTTCAAGCCGATATTATCCATCTAAAGGTTTTCCAATGCTTGAATTGTAATTTTCGATGAAGTATGAGATGAGGCTTTACTTATTTTGATAGGGCTGCAGCCCTATCAAATAGTTTTCCATTAGTTAATATTGATTTTAGATATGGCCAAATAAGAAAATTTTATGTTGATTTTACAAGTTAAAACATTCCATGTTGCTCGGAGAAAAAGAAAATTGGAGATAGATGAGAGAGAGAGAAAGAGATAAGAAAGAGAGAGAGAAAGAGATAAGAAAGAGAGAGAGGGAGAGAGAGAGAAGAGATAAGAAGAGAGAGAGAGAGAGAGAGAGAGAGAGAGAGTAGTTGGTGGGGTGGGTAGGGGTGGTTGTGTAGTGTAGACATTAGAGTAGTTGAAAGGAAAAAAATAAATGTATAAACACATGCACACAAATGGAGAGAGAGAAAGAGACAGGTTTTACCATTTAGACAAACAGAGAGAGAGAGAGAGGTTTTACCATTCAAAGCATATATATGGAGAGGGAGAGAGAGAGAGAACACATAGATGCATGTATGCGTCTTCGTAACCTCACAAAGCCGTTGAACACAAGGTTAATATTATAGTGATTTAAGTGAGAGAATCAAATGTGCTTTATCGCTTTATTCCCTCTCTTACCTTCCCCAAAGCCAAAGGGACCATCCATTAGGGCATGAATGCATGCTTTAGGAATGGTCTAAAGCAAAGCAAAGCAAAAAAGAAATATGAGTCTAGATCTCCCACTTCCATTAATAAATATAAAAGAAAAGGAAATCTAAGGCATGGAAAAGAGTGCTCTTGTATGAACTTGAATTGCAGTGTCAATCTCTCAAAGTGGCTTTTATCCCAAGGACCCCTGACCCTACACTGCCTAATGAAACCTCTTTTGAGAGGGGTCACCATCTGACCCACTTTAAGGGCATTGGGAAGGTCTTTTGATTACGAATATGGAAGGCTGCATATGGGTTAAGAAGAAGCTCCAAGAGCTGATAGTGGACACATGTAGTTGGAAAATGGAGGGTCAGTCCCCCTTTGGTAAGTCACAGGTGCACATTATGTGGCCTCTCCTACGTGCACATTCATTCTCCTCTGTCTTAGGCTCCGGGCCTGGGGCATTTAGGAGCTCCTTCTTGTGGGTTTAGAGATCAAAGTGTGAAAAAGAGAGAGAAAATAACAATGAACAACAATAGCACAAATCAATTAGAAGGAAAATAGAATATAGAACACAAATGCACTATGCAGTTGATTACATTTTTACAGGCTAAGACGAGCAATGATTTTCATAGGTTCAAATGGCACGGGTCAGCTATGTGAGAAATTGAGCAAATAGTATAAGGCCATACATATCGGCTCGAGCCCTAATTTAACCTCAAATAGATACCTCTATATGCCAAAATATCCATATGATAGTCCCACATTTCTCAAATTGATATATCTATATGCCAAAATCATCCCTATACTGGTCCCACATTTCCCCAACACACGGATCGCGGGCCTACCGAACCCCTGACTGATGGCAAGGATCAAGAGGGCCCGAGGTTAGCATAGGATAGATACTAGGTTACACTGTAGAATTCAAGATATAGTTGCACCCAACCCTTAGGGTTCTTACTTAATAATCTAGGGTGCCATTATAGTGTTCTTTCTTATGGACCTAGGTGCCCTTATGGATAAGGATACCCTGGGTCTAAGGTACCTTAGTGGAGCTATCTTGTTGTGCAATTCACTTTCCCAAAAGGCAACTCTTGGAGTACTATAGGTACACTGGAGGGTTCTGCTAGTGGGTACCCAAATAGACTTTATGGGCTCCTCTCATGTGACTCTTGTGCTTATATGGGTTCCTCCAGGTGTGCCACTAATGCGCTTAAATCACTGTCATGGTTCGCTTTGGAGTGACAAAATTTGCCCCTAGGTCCATTCTTAATCGGTCCTCTACCCTAGCATTATGGGCTACTCCCACTTGGCCCAATTGCCCTAATTTTACTTTGCATGGGGTTCCTCCAAATGGTTCCTCTAACCAGGTCCCTAGTGACCCAAACCTAAGAGGCTTAACTCTAGGACTCTCAAGGATGCTTCCTACTACCCTCATGGATTATTCTTAGTGGGACCCTTGATGACCTAAAAAATCCTCTTGAAAAGCCTCCAAAGACCTATGGTGTGCTCCTTGTGGAACCCCCCACATACTGGGCTTCTTTTCTATGAGATTAACTTGTGGGTCCTCGTTATTGGGGTCCATTCTTTTGGATTGGGTTCCATTTTTTTGATGCCCTGTTTGACACAAGTGCCTAGAAAGTGTAGGAGTTGTCCTTATACTAGAAGTCCAGAGCAAATCTGGCCTCCCTTGAAAGTCCTAAGGAGCATTGTGTGATCAACAAAAACTATTTCTTTATACGAGTGTCATGTAATCTCACGTGTTGAGGACTGACCAAACACTGAGAGAGAGCACCGACCATTGCTTTTCCATGGCCATTT